ATGAGAAGGGTGGACTTCGACCTGACCCCCCGCGAAACGTTGTTGGTGTTGGAAGCTCAGCAGAGGGTCAGGACAAGGACAAGGTCGCCAAACCTGCCAGCGGAGGCAAAGATGTTGTTGGTGGTGCTTCCAGCGAGAAGCAGCCCCAGGCCGAGACCAAGACCAAGGAGCAGCTTGAGGCGCGAGATGAGCTCGACTCTATCCTCAAGAAGTCGCCTGGTAAGTGGATATTGGATATAATAACGGCATGAACCTTGACTAACTGTCATCTAGTGATCATCTTTTCCAAGTCTTACTGTCCCTTCTCGAAGAGAGCCAAGGGTCTTTTGCTCGAGAAATACGCCATCACACCTGAGCCGTACGTGGTTGAGCTTGACGAGCACCCTCAGGGTCAAGCTCTGCAAGACCAGCTGCTCGAGACTACAGGACGAAGGACCGTCCCCAACATCATGATCAACGGAGTGAGCATCGGAGGCGCCGATGACATTATCGAGATGGACAATGCGGACAAGCTGGTGGCCAAGATTGTTGACCTCGGAAACAAGAGAGTAGAGGTTTCTGAACGGTTCGTCAAGGGCGGAGCAGCACAATAAGGTAATCAGCATTTTCTCGTTTGTCTTTGTTTCACGGCCTGTGTAATCTTATTGGGCACCCGCACGACGATATACCGTGGGTTCGAATTGGATTGGGCTTGGAGGGTATGGCTGGGAGTTTCGGCGTCTGGGTCTATCACTGCTATATTATAGGGCGAATCATGGTGCTGAACTGGGGATCTTGATGATAGCTGGTCCTCGAGCTGGTGCTGGAAAGCGTTGGTCAAGATGATGTATTTTATTAGCCCAACTAATGAACAAGTTTATGTATCCTTGAGAGCAAAGTTGGTGATCGTCGTTTTGTACCACGGCACTGGTAGCGCCGGTGGACGAAACGTGAATAGGCTTAAATCCTTAGCTTAGCAGGTTCCACTTGAGAAGTCTCTGCGAATGATATTCGGTTATCCTGGCTACTCCCTATCTGAGCAGTAATTGGGTGCAGCAGTTGGGTTCGGTTGTGGAGGGTTGCATCGAGTGCGGCTGGACCAGAGCTGGTTATCAATGGCTTCACTGGTTTGCATGGGTGCATTATCAGTTAGAGCCAGGGACAGTGTCAACAGCACGCAGCGTGTACTGGCGTTGGCAATCGCCAAGATGGATGCGTCCCTAGACAAGATGCGATACCCGTCTTGGCTCTTGGCCGATGAAAGACTTCAAGATGGCTGAACTCTTTATATCATGTCATTACAGGCAGGGCTGAAGATATGGTGGGATTACGCTATGAGCACCTCAGCCAGAACCAGCGCGGGGTACCAACTTTGGGTCAAAAACACTCTAGACCCTTGCTCTCCAAAGTGAGGTACCTCTACCTCCTTCCCAAGATACAAAAAGGGCGGCGCCACCTTTCCCACTTCCCCGTGTTTGCCCTCGACAACGACATTGATCAATATCACGCACTCGAGATTTGAATCTCTCATCAACATCAAAAGTGAACCTCTCGATTACTATTCAATACAATCGTGCACAATTCATCTCAAGAAAACCATGGATCATCGTCCCTCCACAAGCTCCGACGCCGCCTCCACCCTCTCGGGCTCGACCGTCTTCTCCACCTCCAAGGACGCACAGCCGACACCGCCAGCAAAGGTCGAAGCCATCACCGAGACCCTGGCCAAGAATGACCTCCTGCCGAATGACCCCGTCCAGAAGCAGAGGCGGGGCATGCGACAGCGCGTCCGCGACGTCGTGGCAGACCTCGGCCGCCCGCCCACAGCGAGGAGCGACGCCAGCGAGGGGAGGCCCACGCCGAACCACGTCGACGTTGGCCCTGCGCCTCGCACGGTTCTGATGGGCTCGACGACTGTTTGAAAAATTGTTCTGGGAGTCAAAGGCGAAAATGGGGGGGGGCAAAGAGAGATACCTGTTTTGGAGGCGTTGTTTTCTGTTTTTGTGTGCTGGAATTGGAATATGCTGGTCGGGCTATCTGCTGGGTTATGTTATCTAGGTGGAAACTGCAAGCGAAAGGATGGATCAACTTTTATGGAAGCAAACAAGTCGAATGTCTTAATGATACCTTCTTTTACTTATTATTCATCCATGGTTACATATCTACGAAAATGCGCATGCTATACGACGTGGTGGCAAATGCCGCGGCTCATTTCACCAGTTTCAACTCTTAAGAAGCAAAAATTACATCAGCATCAGCCTCATCTGGAAATACCCGAAGCCCTTTGACATAAGCAGTGGCTCCTAAATCCGACTACAGCTTCCAAAGCATGTGCAAGACCCGGTTTCGAGGACCAACTTGAACCAACATGTCTTCGCCTTTGCCCCATTAAAAACGTCAAGGTTCAGTTGCCTCTTTTGGCTTTGCAGGAGTTCCACGGAGTTTGGCCATGACAAATCCTGGACCCTCACGTCACCTCGCGACATGTAGACGAATACTCGTTATAGTAGGTTCATAGTTGATCGCCAGACGAATCGAGAGTATTTAAGAGAGTGATTTTTCCTAGTAGATGTTGTAATGATAATACAGAGCCAGTCTTAAAGGTCAACTGCCTTACACACATCATACCAAAATTTGTTTCTCCCTTACAAGCGCCATGTCGTCTCTTTCTATCCCATCAACTCAACAAGCTGTTGTTCTTCCGGCAAAGCGAACACCTCTCAGCTCCCTCACTGTCCCCGTCTACCCTCCGGCACCTGGTGAAGTACTCGTCCGCGTTCACTGGACGGCCTCCACGCCCCTTGACCTCCACCGTGCAGATGGTGGTCTCCTCATCTCCGAATACCCAGCTCAGATGGGAAATGGCGGCGCTGCAGGCGTCGTCGTCGCTGTTGGTGATGGGGGAGACCTTAAGGGGTTAAAGGTTGGGGACCGAGTGAGTGCTTTTGCTTTCCACGGTGGCAAGGAGTCCAACCACCAGGAGTACATCACCATCCCCGCATACCTGGCTTCCAAGATTCCAGAGAATCTGTCCTTTGAAGAGGCAGTGACGGTGCCAGTTAACCTCGTCACTGTATTCCACTCAGCGACTGCGGACCTCAACCTCGAGTTGCCTTGGCCTATCCCGGAGGGTTACACGCCCAAAAAGGCCGATGAGCCCATCCTCATCTGGGGAGCTGCCAGCAGTGTGGGAATCTTTGCCGTGCAAGTATTTCACCACTGGGGTTACAAGAACGTCCTTGCTGTCGCGAGCGGCAAGCATCATGAGTACCTCCGCGGGATTGGCGCAACTCAGTGCTTCGACTATCGCAAGGAAGATGTCGTGGGTCAGATTCTCGAGTACGCCAGAGGCCGCCCTGAGCCCAAGCTGCCTTACATCCTGGACTGCATCGGGTCTCTTGAGGGCACCCTCAAACCCCTGACCAAGATTGCACAACGCGGTAGCATCGTGGCTGTCATGCTCCCTGTCATCCTCAAGGACGCCACCGTGGAAGAGGAGCCCGAGTATGAGATGGATGCATCCAAGGTCCTTGTCAGAGAATGGGCCGAGGGTGTCAATGTCCGTGGAGTGCGCACCCATTTCTACCTTTCTGTAAGTCAATATCCTCCTACGACTTGATACACGGAGAATGCGAGACTAACAGTAACAGAATGAATTCTTCAAGGAAAAAATGCAGCCTGAGATTATCCCTGCACTTTTGAGGGAAGGTGTAGTTTCTCCAAACAGGTACCGTGTTGTCGAAGGGGCGACGGCTGTCGAGAGAGCTCAGAAGGCAGTCGACATTTTGAGAAACAAGGAGGTCAGTGGTGAGAGACTTGTCTGGAGGATTGCAGACACAGATGCTTAAGAGGAGAGGACGCGTCGGTAGAGAGAACACGATGCTTTGATTGCATGACTCTTTGAGCTGTTGGTTGAACTAGTTATATAGCTGATGTCCCATTCGATACCAAACAAAACGAGTGATTTATCAAAAATCCAACAAGAAATGATCATCTAGAGCTCCTTCGTTTCTTTCCTAGAACCGAAAATCCATGATAAATTATACGGCCTATGCTTCAGTAGCATGTCCCAATCCCTCTTCTGTCGTAGAGCCTCGCAATCCGCTTTGGCACCAGCATCACCCCGAGCTGCCGCTTCCATCTTGGAAAGAGCAAGGTCTGCTTCCCACATTTGAACGAGGAATCGCATGTACCATACACCAAGAAAGGTCCCGATTATGAGCTTGTCGAAAATGACAACGTTTTGAAGAGGGCCTAGCCAGCGGGTGTCGTCGACGCCTAGGAGGAACACCAGAGCCCTTAGGATCACAATTATCAGGCTGAAGACGCTTCCCAACTGCGTCAAGATTCGGTAGCGAATGGGGAGGTAAGGGCTGATGACGGGGATGCGCGGTGTTGTTTGATCCTTGTCTGACTGTGGTTTGTCGGCAGATTCCTCTGGCATTTGCGATGTGCCTTGAGGATTGGAGTATTTAAACTCGGGAAACGATGTATGCGTTTCCTTGTCGTATGAGTTTTCCATTGTGAATGTGTTTAGTCGTAGTTGATATGTTTGTTTGGTTGATAAAGAGTGTCTTCAGTGACGGTGAGTAGATTTTGGATGCGGGAAGTTGTATGAAAGTGGAAGAAAGAGTAACAGAGAATGGAAGAAGAGAGAGCAATAAATAGATTCCATATTGTATTATTTGTTTGTTTTGTTTTGGCTTCAACTTCTATAAACCTTTGGCAACCAAGTTCTTCTGCCTCAACAACCTTCTACCGAAAAGACCAAGGTTCTCATAACGTGCATCAGAAAAGGTTATTAACGCCGTGATGGTTTGTAGATGCAATACTTCTTGAACAGGATCACTGTTAAATGCTCGAATCTATTAAATCAGATTGTGTCAATAATATCCCTTGGACCTCGTCCATCATGAGCCTCTCTATACAGTCATTACTAAAATCAGATATCAACTCCAGGTCTCTCGAACCAATTTAATCCCCCTCAACTCCTTAAACCTAAACTCAAAACAACCTCGTGTTCAAACAGCCACAGAAATGTTTGAAATGTTGCCATGCATAAAGTTATCTATGGCGTCTGGTCCCATTTGCCTGCATCACGGTCAGATTCACATACACTTCTCAACGTCTTTCTTGGCAAAACTTACGCAGTCAGCATCAGCCTCGTAAAGTCATCCACGTCTCCCGGCTGCGCATGCAGCCACACTTCTCCAAAGTCCATGTTTGCCACGCGGAACTGCGGCTTGGTCTGCCATGCCCGGAAAAAGTTCATTGACGAGTCGGCTTCCCAGAGGTACTTGGATGCTGTAAAGGCAAAGGGGGACTCGAAGATTCTGTACGGTGCTGGAGAGGTGTTAGAGGTGAGGCAAACTAGGTAGAGAATCGAATCACTTACGTTCTTGAGACTTCAAGATATATGTCACGCACAAGTAAGAGTAGCCCATCATCAGGCTTCGGCGTATACTTTCGAGAAGCATCCAGCCCTGCATCAACATCAGCAAGAAAACTTTACGCCACGTGCATTTACTGTACTCACCTCCCAAGACGGCGGCGGCTTTTCCCTAGAATAGGAAGAAATCGAATCATCCTTGCCCTCAAGCTCAGCCCTCAACTCCTCCAGCGCGCCCAGCCAAGCCAGGGCCTGCGGCGCTTCTCGCTCGCTCGCCGCCCTCAGCGTAATGTCGCCGTCAAACATGCGGATCGAGTCGAGCACCACCAGAGCCTGCACCCGGGCCAGCTTCTCCAGGGGCGTCGACGCCCGCTCGCCCTCGAGATGGATGTCCTTGGCCACGTCCGTCACGAGCTTGTACACCCACGCCTTGTTCTCGGGCGTGCGTGCTGCGTATGCCGACGCTGCTGAAAAGGCCGCTATCATGGTCCGCGGGAGGCTTGACCCGTAGAGTCGTGGGTGGATAAACGGCAGCGTGCGCGTGCGAGCAAAGTCTTTGTAAAGATGGCTCACTGCGTCAACCACAAAGCCTATCCGGGTGCGTTTATCGTGCACGTCGAGGGGGTTAAAGTCTGTCATGCAGTGCTGCGCCTGCTCCAGCATCGACATGTCCCTCAACACGAGGGGCGCCGGCGCTGGCACCGGTGGGATGTCCATCTTGCTGCTGCCATAGTCGCCGAGGTTCCACAGCTCGGAACCGGCAGTCGAGTCGTTGGCCATGAGGTGGTCGATGATGGAAAAGTCGAGGGGAGAGTCGAGCTGGATGGAAGAAACGTTTGTGCCCAGGCTTTCAGGTGTCGTCGTCGCAGTGCTTGCGCTTGCACTTGATGTTCCTAGGTTGTTGATATCAAAGCCCATATCAAAATCGGGCACCTCGTTCGACAGGTTGCTGGCTGCTGTCGCTCCGCCTCCGATATCCTCGTCGTGAAAGCTCGCCCCCGGTGGCAACCTCTGATAAACGCAGTCCAAGCCCTTGGCAGCGCAGCGTGTGCACCGGGGAATCTTCTTGTCGCACTTGCGCTTTCCTCTGACGCAGGCGTTGCAGCTCTTTTGTCTCGATGCTGCAGCGCGGTCCATCTTCCGCATCGCGAGAGGACTAAAAGAGTCCATCTTTTTTCTTGTTGTCCAGAGAGCAGCGCCTCTTATGTGCAGTAGCAGGGCGGTGACTGTGACCAGGTTTCTCTTCCAACCAAGAGTGTCCAAGAGTCGGAGTTGTCAACGGCGTCGGAGCATGCGGGACCCCCTTCAATAAGAAGGAGCCAAGTTGGCGGACTTTGATGCAAGCAGTAAGCACACGGGCCGGCCCCAATGTTGCCCCGAACCCATCTTGTCTCCGGCCGAATCGGACCAAAAGCGGCCGTCCGTAAACTCCGCAACTCCGCAACTCCGCCATCGCCCACCCCGACCCGAATGCGCATTCTCGCTCCCCCGGAGCAGTCTGGAGACATCCATTGTGTAAGTTAGCATTAGCGCCATGTCAATTGTGAGCTGTCAAATCCTTTCAAGATACGCTACTTAAATATCTTGTCGGATCCTTCCTGGGGAATACCTATAAATACATACGTCATCACAACATGCGACGTCTCGCCTTTCCTTTCGTCTCACGATCCACCAACACACCACGGCAAGAAAGGAGCCTTCAGAGATACTGTAACTCTTAATCACGTCTTATTGAATTCTCGTCTCTCGCGGATTAATCCCTTTCCGAGGTAGAGACACCGACGCCGCACAGCAAGCCCCTTTCCCAGTCATCCCCAATCATCCCATCCCGTCCCGTCCCGTCCCGTCCCCATTCAAACCAGCTTGAACCGACTACTCGGTCCCCTTTAAACGTCCATTCCATAACCTTCCTTACCTTCTTTAAAATGGGTATATACGCCCTATAACACACCCGCGCCATCCCCAATCTCACCTCCCATTCGTCACCCTTCTTAACCAGATGTCCGAACATTTCCCTTCCGGCCAACCCCATTGTACCCGTACGCGATTAATGGCCTCCCTATCCCGAATGAGCAACAAATAAAACTCCCAACAACCTCGCCTGTTGTCGAGGTGGTAGATGTAGAAATAAGACTAAAAATGACTGGACAGGGCATCGACAAAAAGACACACAAAAAAGTTCAAGTCCACAGTCCGTTTGCCGTAAGACACTGGCCGAGAGCAGTGCCGGCCAGAGAGCAGACAAAATAAGGAGAAATCTAATAGCACAGTGAGCTCGAGGCTCCGGGCGTCGGTGACGATGGCGGCAGCGGTTGTGACCGAGTCCAGCGATGGATCCCTGTGCCGCATCTCGCGTGGGTATCTGGTGCCCAAGTATCATAACTTTTTCACCGTCATTCATTCGTTAAGTGGCTGACAAAATAAAATGGTGCACATCGTGTGTCGGCATGAGTGGTTCATCAGCCAAGTGCAGTACAGTCACTTGGCTCAGTACCTCTCCTGGCGGTAACCATTGACACGGGGGGTATCGTACTGAACCCCCGTCATCGAGTCTGGTCCGTTGTTGAGCGAACGGATAGGCGGCAGCTCCGGCCGTGTCGAACTGGCGTAGGGGTCAGAAGGGTATGGTCCAGAGTGAGGTGCCGCGGGCGGGGGTGGAGGAGGGTGACCCGAGGATGTGTTGATATCTCCCCGTAGTTGCACTCCCTCCATCCGCAGAGCGTTGAGCTCTCGACGCAGAATTTCGTTGTCTGCCATTGCTGTGTTGTAGTGTGACTGCAAAAGTCGGTTGTGATCGTTGAGTCTCTGGTGCTCGGCGATGGCTGCCGCCGTGTTAGCGCCCCTATCCCTGAAAGCTAGCAAATACGAAATACTCACCCTTTGTCAAGATTTCCCACTTGGATGCTTTGGAGCCGCGCTCTTGTGGCATTAGATCCCGGAGCTGATCGAACAGCTCCTTCATTTCCGTCCTCCTCTTTCGTTCCGCCAGCTTGTGGCTGACTCTGAGCTCAGGGGTTCTGCTGTAGGGCTGGGAGCCGGTGGGTCCATTGCCTTCCTCTGCTTGGAGATCGCTAAGTTGTTTGTGCTGCATCGAGTGGTGGTGGACTGGAAGGAAATCCGAGGCGTTGGACATGCGTGAGAAATCGCCATCATTCAATCGTCGCTGGCCGGACGGTAGGCGCGACTCGGTTGTGAATTGGCTGCTGGCGACCGACTCGGTGATGCTGCTTCGCCTTGAATCATTGTACGGGGGAGCGCCGACACGTTGGATTTCTTCCTCTGGGAAAGCCCAGGCTTGGCCTTTGGTAGGCTCTGCCGCTCGGGCGATATGCCCTGTCGCGGGACCAGTAATCGCGGGTGCAGTCTTGATCGTCTTGGACTCGGGGTTTCGATCTGCGCTGGGCTGGTAACCGTTCGAGATGCGATGAACGGAAAGGTGATGTGGGTTCCGCTGCGTGTGAAGGGTGTTCTGGATGGATGTGGTTGAAGGGTTGTTGGATGTATAGGGAGAATTGCCAAGTCGCATGTCACTGAAGCCCTGATTAATGCGGCTATCCACGCTTTCCCGTCGCAAGCCACCCATTCCCGGAGCCAGCGTCTCGCCCATCACAGGGCCAGTCCCGTTGGACTCGATCGAGGTGGGCCGGTCCCGACGCGGGTCGAGGTTGCCAGGTGTGCTGGGGGATACCATGGCAGCGACACTCATGTTGGTCGTTGAGGGCGATACGAGCGCATGAGGAACCATGTTGGAGGCGATCGGCGACGGAGTCTTGTCCTGCGATGACGATTGATAGCCAGAGCCGCTTGGGCTCAGACCGTTGACGTTGAACGAGGCTGCAGATGTGTCTAGACGAGTCGGGTCAGTAAAGGAGCTGGGCCATTGGCGCAAACAACGACGAGCAGCGTACGCTTACTGGAGGCGTCTGCATTTGAGTAGAAGCCCGAATCTCGCATATGCGGAGGGCCGTTGGGAGCGGAAGCTGATGCGTGCTCGCTGTTAAGGATGTTGGTGAGTCCGGCTGACTTGGGAGCCGGTGGGCGTTGCTGGCTATGGGCATCCATGGCTGGCCGAGATTGAGGACGGGAATAACAAGGCCAACGCCAGCTTGGAATGAATACGGCAGGCCGATACTCGAATGGGTCGCGTAGAAGACAGGGTCAATCAGGTCGCCAGAAAATCCAAGGGTTGTCTCCTGAATAAAATGGGGGGATCGGTTCGTCGCAGGCACGGCGAGACCGAAGCCGTACGGAGGAGGCGAGCAGGTAGCGGCGGTGCAGCGAGGCGATTGTCGAGAGCTGAGAACTGGTATTCGGGGAGAGGAGCGCGACAGGGCGGCGATTTTAAGATGAGAGCCAGGCGTATCAGCGCAAGAGCCCCAGGACAGGGTCGAAATACGATGATGGTGACAGCAGCCGGCGAAAGGATGCGTAGTAGTAATGGCGGATTGTGAGGAAAGGAAAAGGAAAATTGCACACGAGACGGACCCTAGTGAAGGTGACGGAGGCGGGCGAGGAAGGGGAGGAGGAGGAGACCTAGGGACTTGAGCATGGGTGTGGGTGTGACTTGTGGGAGAACGTGAGAAAAGAGCCACCTCGAGAGAGGGAGAGTGTGCGGTGCGAGTGAGCGAGTGGTTGGGAGGGGTCCCGTCTTGTCTGGTCTTGGGCCACCCGCAGAGAGAAGAGATGGGGAGGGATGGGATGGGATGGATCGAGGATGGGCAGGACGGGACTGATGAATGACAGAGAGACTTGGGAGAGACATGTGTGTGGTACCTGAGAGCAGCGACCATGGTGGTATCGTCAAGGTCCCGTCATTTGAGCCCACGCTGGCTGCCAGTGCGCGATGCCAAACCCCCAGTGGAAGCCGCAGGGGAGCTAGGGCCTGTGCAGCGGGCGGCCGCGGGCAGCCAGACTCCCCAGTGGACTCTGTCCTCAGCAACTGGCCTCTCCAGAAGGTGAGGTGAAGTGCTTCGCCGTGCTGCGCTGTGCTGCGCTGTGCTGCGCTGTGCTGTGCTCAATGTGTACCCCCTGTGTCCTGTACTCGAGGTACCTGTGATAGCGTGGCCAAGTACAGCATCACTTCAGGTTCCCGCCCATGCCGTGCCCGGGGGGGCGGTCCCTGCTGGTCATAGTGCACTCGAATGCGTGGTCCGCGCGCGTGGACTCGCAGCCACAAGTACCTGGGGTCGACAAGCAACCGCTACTGGCGCGAGAAACCTTCAGCTGAAATACCCCCGTCTGCAGTACCCGAAACTCGGCGCGAGTCCAAGGATAGGCGCATCTGAGGGTTCACACGGGCGACCAAGTGCCCTGAACGGCGGTCCAAACGCAGCCCTGAAACGCAGCCATGAGGGACTCGGCCCGTATCGTATACCTATCTTTCTCGTAGCCCCCACAGGGATACGGCTCCATGTGTCAAAGTACCCGGCCACGACTCAATACCCCCGACCGGCAGCACGCTATTCCTGGGAGTGTCGCCAGCTTCAGCGACTGATAGACTACTAGGGGGTGCGGTCCCACGGTCTGTGAAGCCACCCTCCACCTTGTTCATTCCCCTCTGGCTCCCCCCGAAAACCTTGTTCTGCCACGGCCTTCAAGACGTGGAGGTGCGGAGAGCATTGGACGCAAATCGTGGAGGCGCTCCCACCGGGCAGAAGACGGAAGGGGGCACCATCAAGGCGCCGTATTGGCCTCTTCTGACCTCAGCCAGCCTCAAGTACAGTGCGATACGCAGCTGGTCTCTGCTTCCGGCCAAGGTCGCTGCCTCGGACGACATGATGCCCGGCCCAGGAAGAGTGGCGATGGGCGGGTTCTGGCATCATGCTCATCTCAATGCCAAGGCTGAATCTCCGAAACGCTGCACTGAGAGACATATGGTAGTCCCGGTCGGAAGACATGACCGGATACATTAGTGAAAAGATGCAGCTCAGACCCTGTTATTATTCCCTTCGTCCAGCCGCTCAGACGGGAACCTCTGCGAAAGAGGGGAAATCTGCAATTGTTTGCATGCAACGGACCGAGGAGCAGGCTCGATGATGTCTGTGCAATACTGCCTGCAGTAAGCAAGCCAGCTAGTTACAGACCACTTGTCACCTACTGTACATCTTGCGGAGTGAAGTTATTCCCTTGACTTGGGACAATCTCAAAGGTGGTTTGTTCATCGAAACCGCAAGGGTGGCGACATGATCAGTCTTGTCTTGCCTTGTACGTCAGCATATAGATAGCCGCCCAGTTAGAGGCATCGCAGTACAGTAGGCAGCTCACTAATAGCCTGCCAAACTACCTACCACGCGGGATGCCGTCACCCACATGCCACCTTTCGGCTGTGGTCGCCAAAGGCCCGGTACAGTACAGATGGTCAAGATGAGGCACGTTCTTGATGTCGACACGTTGCCGCGGAGGAATAGACATGGACCATTCCAACGCAGTCACCTTCAGAGATGGGACGATGGGCGACTGAAAGCAAGATCCAGCAAATCGAAGGACAAGACAATAGAAAGTGAAAACTCTTCAAAGCCCATGTTCCCAACAACTGGCAACATCCTGTCGGGCCACCACGAGGCCAGTGCCTGCGGGTTGCTGGAGCTTGTGGTCGAGCAAGCTAGGATCCCTAGACCTCGGGAAGTTCGTGTGCTGTCCTGTCTGTTTGCACTGCGTGCGTGGACGATTTCCGGGGTGCGCTGTGCAATGGATGCTGAGATGGATGCTCGTCAGCCCAAGAAACGGGACTGGAAAACGTGTGGGTGTGTGGCTTGCACCGAGCCGGGGCACCTCGTGCGTCGTCGACTAGCGCATCCATGGCCCCATCAAAAAGCATGGACTTGGGGGCCCATGCCGCGAGGTCCAAGAATTGTCTAGGGACCCATGCCCTTCGTCTTGTGCCGGACTGGCTCGTTTGGTGAAGCTTTGTTCCTCCTTCCGTCTCACCCCCAGTCTTTTCCCCCCGGCGCACCCCAGCTGGAACCTTCGCTTGGCTCGACCCCCGTTGTTTGATGAGCGATGGGCGGAGCGACTAAACAACCCAGCACCACATGCGCGATCTTCCGCCGCCACGTGAGGCGCATCTTGTCGAGAGGATAGCGCCGCGAAGCAATTGGTTCCTTCGTTTGCCTGCAGAGTACGTACTGTCTCCATCCCGCCCTCATCTCATGTAAGATGTCGTTGGCATGTGCAAAGGTACAGGTGCCGCGCGGTGTTCGTGAGCTGCCATGTGGCAGCACCGAGGTACTCGATACCTGAAGGATACCTCAAGATGGCTGTCGCCGTACACTTGTTGCTCGCAGCGTGGTGTCGTACCTGATTTCTTGCCAAAGCCATCTATTCAGCTGCTGCCCACTATCAGCTTGAAACAGCACTATGTAGGTTGTGCAAGGGAGACTCTGCCTGTGCAGGCTTCAGTCATGGTCAATCTTTGCTGCTTGCGTCAACTCAGCGTCGGTAACCTTTGACTTTTCCTGCTCCCCGACACGTGCGCGGACGCGGATGGAGGAAGCGCAAGCAAAAGATCTAGCCGCCCTGGTGACCGGCACGACCAGGGAGGGCGTCAATCTCGATGGGCCAAGCCGTCTCGGTGACAAGGATACCCTTCAAGGCTTTATGTGGGTGTGCTGAGGTGGCCAGACGAAGCAGAGGGACAAGAAAAGAGAGGAAACAGGGCCAGGCCAAAGCAAACAATTTGGAAAAAGAAAACACTCAAACAGAAAAACGGTCTGGCGATTGATGAGATCGGCCGACAAGCACGAGGTTGAACTAATTAATCCACGCCGCTCCTTCTCTCTGAGTCCTTGCACAATGCGATGTGCATCTCTTTCCGAAAACTCGGATTGACACTGTACATGGCACAAACTTGTCGCTCTGTTTTACAGTGCGCATTTATCTCTTGACGTTCATAGCAAGAGCGACCCCTGAGTCGCAATCTCACTCTGGACAACAGTCCATCCAAGATCTCCTCTCAATACCAATACCTAGCCATTCACAACTTAGATCCATCTCCCCAACATCCCCCAGCAAAAGAGGATGCAAGAGATTCAGTTGTCTTTCCGCCGAGACAATGTCTCGACCCCCTGTATCGTATCTCGCCAGTCGTCCTACCGCTGATAGCCCAATTGGTTATCAACCAGAGAATAACATGGCGAGAGTCGCTCTTACGGCCGTGGGCAGCTTGCTTTTTGCACAATTTCCAACAAACATTCATCAGAATATCCGCATAGCAACCCCTGAATTTCTCTTCGACGCCAAACCGCCTGGCTGATCATGCATGGCAGCCAACTGTGCCGAGACATGGTGCAAACTCTGAGCATCAGAACAGCCTCCAGCGATCTTGTCGTCGTGCCGCCCACGCGGTGGCAGCAAGCCTGTCCAACCCAACCTCCTCGCTCACACTGGTAAAGAGCCAGTTGGCGCTTCTAGCAATCCCACGACAAGAAACCCCTCGCGTGCTTTTCACGCCGGCCCCAAACCCTTGGACCCATGTGCCTGACTTGTCCCGACGGGGGATTCTTCCCGGGGATCCTCATTACCTCTCTCTCGACTAACACCACCCAAGCGCGCTCCCATCGGCGATCGGCGCCTCTTTCAGATGGCCCGTGGTTGGGTGTCTGAAAATGGGTTTCCGTACAGCAGCGGTGCGATTTACGTCCAAGCGCAATGAGCTTTGTTGCGAATTCCAACACTTTTAACCTGATATGCATGGAGGGCACATCGTTCAGCGAGCCCCTGCATCTCAGCCTCCATAACTGCCGGTGGAGAAGCAACAAATTCCCTTTCCACGTGGTGATGAGGTGACAGCCAGTCAAACCTCACTCGAGCAGTCATGCCGAAACAGGAGGGTGCTCAAGAAACGCGGGTATGGTATGGCATGGTGACCACTACTCTGTACATGGATCCCAAGCTGACCATGATAGTTTTCCTCCGGCTCCCGCCATTAGCACCCGCCGAATATATCTGAAAGCGCAGCATGGGTCGCCCCCCACACACCCGTGCGTTTGCTCTGTGCAACCCGAGCCTCGCCAAAGGAGCGGTTAGATCGCTGTTGCATGAGCATTGCTTGCACAAAAAGCGGG